GGGTTTGAACCACCAGCCTTCTGGTTAGCAGTCAAGTGCCTTAGGCACTACGCTACCAGAGCTTAAGAGGTATAAATATGCTTCCTTTTTTTTTTTTTTGAAGATGCATCACATTGCTGAGTCACAAGGAATGTTTGGTAAATGAATGTCTCTGAATAGCATTAGGCCAAAGTTATAGTCCACATGAGATATTCCTCATTGTTCCTTAAAACCTTTTCAGGTTTTCTAATTAACTTCTGAAGCAAAATAAATATTTGACATTTTCTTCATATTTTGATTAATTTATATGCCTTGTTTTGTCAGGTATATACATGATCAGAGGAGCTCTGATGGAATAGCATTTGAAGCATTCTGCTGCTAACCAACAGGTTGGTGGTTTGAACCTACCAGATACTTTGTTGGAGAAAGATGAGGCAATCTGCTTCTCTAAAGATTTACAGCCTTGGAAACCCTATGGGACACTTCTATCCTGTTGTAAAGGGTCACTTTGAGCTGTAATCAACTTGATGGCAGTGGGTTTTTCTGGTTTGGTTATACATAATTAACACTATATACAGTTGCATGCTAAGATCAGATACTCATTATATATGTGTTTGTGTGTGTGTATAATACACAGAAAATGAATGATAAATTAAATGTTTCAAGTTAGCAGAAATCAAAGCTTGTATATGCAAAATCCTTTATTTTCTACTTATTAAAATCTTCAAAGAAAACATGAAATTTTATTAATCTTTTGATGAGCATTAAAAAAATATTTCCAATATCAAAGCATGACCATTTCATACTTCAAAACATTCTTCAAGGTAATAATTTACAATCTTCAATAATTTAAAAATGTTTCAGTTCAACAGGAATAGCTTTTAAAGTGGAAATAATATTTTATATTACAATTCTGTTTACCTCCACTCCAAATGAGCAAAAGTAGGCATTCAAACTATCTCTATAGCTCTGTAGTAAGTTTCAGTAGGTAAATAAAAGTTTCAATATAGAATTTAACAATATAGCATCAGGCAAATATTTTCTGAAAGAGATTACTTAAACCTTTTTTTAAACCTTGAGACTGAGGGGCTCTTAATAGAGAACACAGGCTTTATCGAAATCCCCAGTGCTGAGTGTGGGATAGCAACTCAACTCTGCTATATGATTTTCTTTGAATTTGTTTTCTATTTACTGCCTGTTGTTGTTGTTGTTGTTATCTGCCATCAAGTCGGACCCGACTCATAGCCACACTTCCTTGGGTTTCTGAGACAGTATCACTACAGAAGTAGATTGCCCAACCTTCTTTCCAAGTAGTGGCTGGTGGGTTTGAACTGCCAGCCTTCTGGTTAGCAGTCAAGTGACTTAGGCACTAGGCTACCAGAGCTCCCTATTTGCTGCCTGGTATCTTTCAACAGTGCATATAAACTATCATAATTTAGATTAATTCCCAACTTACTTCCAGCACCTCAGAGATTTCCTCAGCTCCACCAGGAATTGTTTCAGTGGTTTTAAGTTTGAGCTCCACTTCATTTAGCCACTTGTTTGCCTTCTCTAAGTATGACAATAACTCATGCCAACACGCCCAAACTTCCTGAGAAAGAAATATAAATTGCAGATGAAATATTTTAATAGAAAAGTGAATATGAAACACTGGCATTTCCATTTTCAAGCTTCTGTAACAGTAAGATTTTATTTTACTTCTTCCACCCTTTTCTTTGCATCTGATAACTTCAAACACAACTAGTCATTTTGTTCATCTAATACTTCTATAATTACAGATCATTAAGGAAATGTTTTATTACATGAATAAATTAAATTATTCATGTAAAATAAAAATAAATTCACTGATTTACTTTTTTAAACACAGAAAGTCATTCACCAATGTTACAGTCTAGAAAATAGAAAAATGAAATCATATATAAAATTGCATATATAATCTTAACTTACTAACACATCAACTATGAGCACTTTTTTGTGACCTAGTTTACGTTTTATCATATATAAACAACATGATAGCTAAAATAAACTATGGATTCAACTATAGTTTTCTATCAGTAACCATTATATAATTTTCCCGTATGATTAGACAGACTTATATTTACAGTAAATGAAACCCAAGGTTTCATTAAGTGGTTGTATCTTTGTTTCTGTAGACTTCTGTAGCGATACCGCCTGTGAAACCCAAGGAGAGGTCGCTATGAGTCTGATTCGACTCAAAGACAGTGAGTTATTTATCATACAACACTGTTGAAAAATTTTAAAACATTCAAATTTGAAGGAGACAATTCGAACATTTATAGTAGATAAATATGAATGGAAATAGAACTCCAAGAAGTTAATTAAAAAACAAAGAAACAACCCTTTGGAATTTTTTTTTAAAAAAAGAACTGAACCAGCACATATATATGTAATAAATATGAGATGTTCAATCTCATGAGTAATCATGGGAGGATAAAGCAAGGTTACAATGAGATATTTTCTAATATGTTGATTGGCAAAAATGAGAAGTTGAAAATTACTATCCACTCCTCAGAAGGAAGACTGGGCAATCTACTTCCATAGAGATACCGCCTCGGAAACATAAGGAGGGGTCGCTATGAGTCGGATCGACTCGACAACAGTGAGTTGGGTTTTGGTTTCATCTTGCTGGTGTGTGTGTATATTGGAATGACCATTCTGAAAAACAATTTGTCATTCTCAATTAGACAAACATTCATATACCCTACATCCCACCTAGTTCACTTCTGGGTATATATCCTCTGAGAAACTGCTTTGAATGGTCAACAAAAGATAGATACAAGAACATTAATTTCACCAGCTTTTGTAATAACCAATACAAACATATCCACACATAATTTCACTTAAACACAGAAGCAACAATGAATGTATTTATCAAACAGAACAATATGTATGAATCTTAAACACAAAAATGATGGCTGAACAGAGTAAGTATTAGAAAATTACGTATATTAAGTTACCATCTTTATAATGCTCAGAAACAAGGAAAATTTTATGGTATATTGTTTGGGAATTCATATGTGTATACTATATATATGTACTCTATATATGTGTGTGTGTGTGTGTGTGTGTGTTTGTATACACACACACACACACACACACATATATGTATGCTCTGGCAGCATAATGACTGCTAACCAGAAGGTTAGTAGTTTGACCCCATCACCACTCCTCAGAAGGAAGGTTGGGCAATCTACTTCCATAGAGATACTGCCTTAGAAACCCACGGAGGGGTCACTATTAGTAGGAACTGACTAGATGGGAGTGAGTTTTGTAGTGATACTGTCTCAGAAACCCAAGGAGGTGTTGCTGTGAGTTGGATCTGACTCTACAGAAGTGAGTTTGGTTTTTATAGATATAGATATACATATACATATATAGATATTTTAAGCAAAAGGATACTGAAAATCAACTTCAGTTTTATAGTTATATCTGTTGGTGGAAAGAGTAGGCAGATGTGATAAAGGATAAAAAATAAAATAATGAATAATTCCCATTAGATTTGAAATGTAATTTTTTTTGGAAAATATAAATATAGCAGTATACCACCATCTTCCTCCCTTTTACATCCCTCCCCCCTGAAGATAAAGCCTACAAAGCAGTTTTATTTTAGAAGAAACTGAAATAAGCAACTCTATCAGATTTACTATGATCTCTCCTTTGCTGCTAACATTTGCAAATGGTAGAAGGTATTCCTTCACCAACTGATGAAAAGTACCAGTCGAAGTCATCTTGCCAGCCTATGAACCTTCATCCTGGCTTTCCATTCTGTGTACAAAGCATCACAAAAAGGAAAATTAAGTATTTTGCTTTAAAAGGTGATAGAAATCTTAAATCTGGGTCATTTCCAGCTCCTGCTGGACTACAGGCTGTCTTCCTTCTGGGCAAAGATCCCAGTGGGAAAATATAAATATCTCCTTAAATACCCGAGGGTACTTTCGCTCTTTGAATATATGGGGATGCGATTGATAATGTGTCTTATTAACTTTGGTGCAGATTGAGGTAATGAACTACCTTGCTGATTTAACCATCAGGATGGATGGCCTCTTCTGTCCTCAATGCATCTGAAGGACACAGCTGGAGAGGCTGAATGTATCAACTTTACAGGTCACCTTTGCAAAATAAAATATAGTTTTGCAGCCTGAATTGGAACTAAAAGCCACTTTGAGTAAGCGTTAAGCTTAATGGTTTGGAACTTAAAATTACTGTGAAACCACAGAATTCAAAGAGGCTTTAAAGGAGCGTATAAATGAAGAAGGAAGCTTCCAATCAAAATGGTAGACAGGGCTAATGTGGTAAAGCTTCAATCAGATTGAAATGTTGAATAAAATGTAAAGGAAAACATTTCAAATCCATAACAGATCTAGGAAATAAGTATGAAAAATCCTCAGGTGGTAGAAAATAAGAGGGACATTAACAAGTACAGAGTGTGGACTGATGCTTACAAAAATTCAGCATATTGGAACAGGGTATATAAGATAAAAGCTAGGATATTTAACATTAACGTGGCATGGGAAATGAAGCATTGCTGCCATACATGCCAAGCGATGGAAAAACATAATACTGCAAGCTATCCAGCCTGGAAACAAGATCCAGATAGACCTCACAGACTGAAATATAGAGAATTAGCAAGAAAGCTTAGCATTCATTGGGTATTTGGTTGGAAAACAAGCATCCAATCATATGAATTTGAAACCTAAGCTTATATCATGAGGACAGAATATTATAACTGCAGGATTCTGGTAGAGAAAAACACAAAGATACATAAGGACCCTCCAACAGCCCATAGAACAAGGAACCCCAGTAAACACAATTTCTGCTATAGGTGGGTTCACGAACCAAAATTGCAAACCACAAGAGGAAATGAACTGCCATTAGAGGGAGTCAGTATTTGCAATGACTACCAGAATCCATACTTTAAGATAGAGAGATAGAACAATTTTATATAAGTTTCAAATAAGTATGCTTAGCTTCGTGGTATAAGCTGCTAGTAAGACCTATTCTCCTGGGATCGGCAGTAAGAATACATGGTTAAGAAATACAAGAGTTACGTTTCCCACATTCTATTTTGGGAGAATTTCTATTAAAAGTTTTCTTAACGTGTGGTCTAAATGTAGAGGACTGAGGGGAAGGTATTTGGTGGGAAGGAAGAAAAAAATGTTTGGGAATGTAGCCAATTCCTTTTTCTTCCTTTCTTATGGAGGTGTGTAGTGGGAGTATACTAGTGACTTCTCTTTGCAATGTTTGAAATAAAGTCACTTATCAAGTGGGTGAGTGAGTATACACAGAAAGAGTGAGTTGACATGCATTTGTGTTTGGGGCTGCCAGCATGGCCAAAAAATTCTCTAAATTTCTAGTTCCTGAAAGATAGAGTGGATGGGTTCTGCCAGTGCCTGTGGACTATGAGTTGAAATGTGGAGAATCACAGAAGCAGGTATCAAAAAGATGTCTTCAAGGGAATGTGGTGTAATGTTATTGGTAAGAGCCAACTTGAAGATGTTGAATTTTGCAAGGTACCATGAATGCCTAGGACATCTTCTTGAATTTGAAGTCCAGATGAATAACGCCAGCTGGAATCCCCAGTAGACCATGACAAGTTTATAAAGAACAAGCTAGATAAGTAAGGATAGGCCACAGGAAAGGAAAAACAGACTGATCACAGACGTGTGTAGGTGTTAGCAAAATGAAATAGTAATTATAGACAGCCAAGAAAGAGACATACATACGGACAGTATATTTTCGGTGGTACTAACTGTTTTGCAGTAAGCTACTAGCCAAAAGGTTGGCAGTTTGAACCAAACTAGAGACACCTCAGGAGACTGGCCTGGCAATCTTTTTCCAAAATGTCACAGCCTTGAAGACCATATGGAGCTGGTAACTTGAAGGCAACCAACAACAACAGCAATACCAACACTAGGAGAAATTGATGGGAGAAGGGATGTGTAAGACCACTTACTCTCACTCCCACATTGATATAAATTGCAGAAGCCACAAGACTAAACTCCAGTGGTAAAAGATTTTAATAAAGTTTAAGATTAAAATTTAAATGAAAATAAATAAAAAATGAATGTAAGTGATGAGATCTCAGACTGAAGTGTTGTTTAAGAAGCCAACTACTAAGCAGAAAATGGGATGCTGTTATTGGAAAAATAGAACTGTTTTATGTGTATTATTCTAAAAGTTGAGACCTCAAAGAAATAAATAGCATATGTTTAAATTGTTTAACTAAAGGAATAAATGGAATTCATGACACCAGAGTACACATTTGTGTGTAAGAAGAAACAAAACTGTAAAATAAATAAATAAAATTTCGACAAATGCAAAATATGACCTTTGTAAAAATCAAACACACCAATATACATATATTTAAATGAGTAGATTTATAGATCATGGCTTATACAGGACTCCGTAATGAACAGCAATTATTAGAGACAATCATATTAAGATATATTTCTCCACAGAACATCTTCCCACTAAGATGCATAAATGAAATGATATATGTTCAAAGATGCTTTAAAAATAGAGGCCAAATTGTATAACTCTGAAGAAAACTTTTTATTTTATTTTGTGACCTAAAAATAATGGAAATAATAAAAAAAATCAGCATAATAGCCACTTAAATTTGGGGAGCATTAAGCTAAGTACTTTAAATGAATTAGCTTATTTCATCTTCTCAACAGGAAGGTATTATTTTTATGTCCATTTTACAGATGAGAAATCCAATTATATAAGTTAAACAGCAGTGCCTGAGTGAGGAATTCAACTGGAGAATTTTTGCAACAGAGTCCATGTTCTTAAGCCCCGTGCTCTGCACATGACCATATATTGGCATAATTGATGTTAAAGACCAAGAAGAGAAACTAACTTCCAAAGTCTTGCATTTTCCATTCAGCCTGGTGCAGAGCCACTGGTAGTTGGTGGTGAGAGTGTCAAGCTCCTTCTTTAAGGCCTCTTGTGCTGCAGGTTGAGCTTGAGCTATAACATTATTCACAGACTCAGTAAGGAGTTTCACCTTTGTTTCTTTTTGCTGGGCCTCTTCTTTAGCTCTCTGAAAATCAAATAATATTGTCTTACTAGCAAGTCAATCACTTTCCTTCCCAAACACTGTCCTATGAACCATGAAGTTTTTTTTACTTATGACATGCCAGTCAGGAGGAGATTAATGAAAATAAATTCAGTATTACCTCAAGTATGCCCCATACATTTAGTTTTATTATAATAGGAAATTTAAGGAAAAAAAGCTGACAATGAGAATATTACAGATCTTTACTCAGAATACTTTGCACATGGGTCTGTATATGGGTATGCACTGGTGGCCAAATATGTACACACATATATGTATAAATAGAGCTAATTGAAACAGGTGAGAAACAAATATTTCAATACTAGCTTGGTTCAAAAATATCTCATAGTCTACAATTGAAATCACTTATAAATTACTCAGAGGATTCTGAAATTAGTGCAAATATGACTATGAAAATCAAAAGATAAGTAACATAAGAAGGTCTCTTAATGCTATATTTGAGACCATATTTTGTGAAAGAAAGTTCTGTTCAACTGTAAGCCCATAAATTGGTTTATACAGTCCCCAGGTTATGAAAAAGATCAGTTCCTAGTCATGTCTTTAAGTTGGATTTGTAGGCAAGTAAGAACAGGTGCATATGGTTCTTATTTAGGTTCACTTTAGTGCAAGAAAAGGGAGCTCTGGTGATGCTGTGGTTAAAGCTTTGGGCTGCTAACCAAAAGTGGTTCGGTGGTTTGAATGCTCCAGCTGCTACACATGACAAAGATGAAGCAGTCTGCTTCTGTAAAGATTTAGAGCCTTGGAAACTTTATGGGGCAGTTCTACTCTGTCTTATAGAGTCATTATGAGTTAGAATGGACTCAGTGGATTTAGGTAATGGTTCAATTGTTTCAAAGTGAGAGCAAATTTACATAACAATAAAGGGCAAGTAAGACTTGTACCTATATCAGACTTGAGCAAACCGGTGCCTTAATGTATAGTGAACATCCTCCTGAAAAAGGAGGAGCTTGTCTGGCACACAGAGCTGTGCCATGCTCTTCTCCTGCTGAATATAAATTGTTTTACAGAACTTCTGTATCAGACAAGGACACTTTATGACCTTGATGGATCCAGGCAACCACAAGATCACTCCATAATCATGTCTGAATACAGAAAAAATATAAACATCGCTCAAATGACAAAATATCAAACATCCCCCTATTCTAGATAATATGACTAACTGCTTATTTCTTATCAATTACAGCTTTAGCTTTGCTCTAGTCTACCCTCCTTCTATGTAAGATTGATTAAGATACCCAGTCAGAGAGTTATTTCCACTTCCTGATAGCATCCAATCCAAAGCAAAGTTATAAATCTCCCCTCGAATCATCTAACACAAGCCCAGAGACTATAACAGATTCTTTGGAACCTGCTCATAATCAATACCCTAGGGTTTCCCAGGGTACTCATTCTCCTCTTTGCAAAAAGTAATAAACTCAAGTTGTTCAGCTAGAAGAATGTTGCTGGTGATCTTGGGATGGAGGGCACTTATAGTCCTTATCTGTCAATGAGGACATGCATGCTAGAAACACACACACAATTTATCTTTAGTTTGGGTTCTTCCAGAAGCAAACCCTGAGATGATGTTTCAAATATAATTAACTAATATGGGATGTGAAGGAAATACTGGTGGAGGAACAGGAAATTAAGAAAGGAAAAGGAAGGGAGTTTATACAGGTATACTTATTAAGCCTAGAAAAAGACTTGGCGACTGGAGTCTAATTGTGCTGGGAAGCTCTAAGAAACTCATGCTTCAAGGTTATCCCAGTCAAGTGAGGGAGCTAACTCTCACCACTGGTTGAAGGATGCTGGAGGAATGTCACAGAGGTGGGAAAAGCAGAAGTCAATGACACAGAAATTCCTCAGGTGAAGAAATACAAGTTCTGGAGGTTGAATGCGGGCTTGCATGCAGGGAAGTGATGACAGTGAGGGTACACAGGCAGGATGTGGACAATATAAGCTACAAAATGTCTTTTCATTTTTTTTGACATACTTGTCCTACTTGTTGGCATTTACTCCCATAATGACTTAAAAGTACAGACTATGACAACAGAAAATGACATCTGTTCTGGCTACAAAATATTTGACTTCACTGACTTTAACTTAATTGATTGATTATTTTGGTTAAATATTCTAAAGAAATACTTGTTGAGTATCAGTTAGAATGGGATCTACAAAAAAGGCACTTTGATGGCAGTAGTATCTATAACATTGTCAACAACTTTGACAACCATCAGTCACTCTCTCTATGCTCTTGTAAAGAGCTCTGGTGAAGCAATAGTTAAGTCATTGGTTGCTGACCAAAAGGTTGATGATTTCAACCCAACCATGGGAGAAAAATTAGATTATTTGCTCCCATAAAGATTATAGCCTAGGAAATCTCATGGGGTAATTATATTACAGGAGGGTGCTATAAATTGAAATCAACTTGATAGCACTTAACAACACAATATGCTACTGAATGCTACATTACATAGGCCTTATGGGCTACCTCATTAGATCTTTAACAAAACATTCTGAAATGTGTTTCATTATCTCTGTATTGTTGTTGTTGTTATGTGCCGTCGAGTCGGCCCCGACTCATAGCGACCCCTCCTTGGGTTTCCGAGGCAGTATCACTACGGTAGTAGGATTGCCCAACCTTCCTTCCGAGGAGTGGTATTAGACATCAGAAAACTGAGGCTCAGAGAGTTTAAGTAAATTGTCCTAGGAAATGCGTATTTTCTTTCACATAGATTCTGTTAATCCCATCTCAAATCTCAGTGAGATAAAGAAGGAACATATTGCAGTGGGTTGCAAAATTAAATTACGTTTTATACAAAAAGGTCAACTCACTGCCTACAAGTTGAACCCGACTCATAGCAACGCCCCCTTGGGTTTCCAAGGTGGTATCACTACGGAAGTAGATTGCTCAACCTTCCTTCCAAGGAGTGGCTGGTGGGTTTAAAGCTCCAGACTTCCGGTTAGCAATCAAATGCCTTAGGCACTATGCCACCAGAGCTTCTACATTTTATACAAGTTACAAACAATCCATGCAACTACCAAAAAAAAAATCAAGAATAATATTTCCTTCTTTGATATTTAACTTTCATAGCTTCGTTTTACAAGCAAGCTTAAAAGTCAGAAATGGTCCAGAGAACAAAAAAAAACAAAATATATTAGTCCAAGTAGATATGAGAAAAAGGAGATCATGAAGAATTTCTCAAACATATGCAAAAGGAGAAGATTAAATGAATGGTATAATTTAGACATTATCTTTCTCAGAAATAGTGCCTCTGGTTTCTTCCTTTCCATATTCCAACCATCATATGTTCAGATATCTTTCATTGCCAACATCTCAAACCAGTGGTTATCAAATGGTGGTTCTTGGAACCAGGTTTAAACTCGTCCCTTGGAATCACCTGGGAACTTTTAAATGAAAATTCTAAAGCACTACCCAGTCCTACCGAATTAGAAACTGGGGGATTGGACCCAGCAGGCTGTGTTTTAACAGGTATTACAACTGATTCTGATGCATGTTCAAGTTTGAGACCCCCTGCTCTACTCTGCCTCCCATCCAGTGTAAATAGTAAATACATCTATCTAAGTTTTTTTTTTTTTTTTAATGCATTAGGACTACTGATACAATAGTGTAAAAAATAAGAGCTAAAAGATGAAATTCAGAATTTTTTAAAAAAAATTTAGTATAAACTTCCAGCAAATGGCTACTGTAGACCTCCATAAACACCATTCCCCTTGGTTCTTTTGTGTTAATAGAATGTTTTGTTTACAGTGGAAAAATAAGTTATCAAAACAATATTGTGATTTTCTAGCAAAACATAGGAAATAAAAATAGAGACACAGACAGAGGTCTCTAATTTTCTCTGAATAAATCAGGAAGAGATCATAAAGTAGGTCTACTTGTCTCTTCTGACAATAAAGATTTGTTTGCTGTCAATATGAACACAGCTGGAAACCTGGACAAGATACCATTACTACATTCTAGGTAGTAAAACAGACCCAGAGATTGTCTTCATGGATAGGCAGAAAATTCATGAAATGGGGGCTTCCTGCCAACTCCCTTGGATGCTGTTGCTAAAGGCTCTTCATCTTTTCAGTACCACACTGGTTATGTAGCTGGTACAATTATTTAACCACAGCAATCAATGGGAAATGATTGGTTAGATCATTTATTTCAGGATTTGTTTTAAAAAATTTAAAATTTCAGACAGTCTACTGTACAGCACTGGGAAAGAAAGAGATCTGGCTGGGTGGTTGGCAGGGTATGTAAACTGCTCAAGAAGAGAGGGGGAAAAGGCCAAAAGAGAGACAAGATCAAACAAAGGAACTCGGGGAGGAATATAGAGTTGCTGAGTACAAGATGGCTGTTGATTATCTATGTTGGGACCTCAGGTAGGAGATAAATAGTACTAGAAGAGGTGATGAGAACAAACCATGAGAGAATTGGGATGTGAGGGAATGGCTCCAGGAGTGCCACATACTTTTGTTTTTAATAAAAAATAGAATAGAATAACTGAGAATAGCATGGGATGGGATGGGATGGGATGGAGTGGAATGGAATGGAATAGAATGCAATGAAATGGAATGAAATGAAATAGCTTCAATTTTGTTGGTTTCACCGAAGATGAAAAACTGGTGATTATGGCTAAAATAGCTGACTTCTCCAGTAAGCTGAGTCTTCTGAGCAACAGAGAGAAATTTGGACATATTTCTTCACATAATTATGTACTTTTCCTAACTGACTTTCCATCATTCCATTTAAAAGCATAAAATTACTTTTTCTCTAGCAATGAGTTTCTCAGTTCACTTAGAATGAAGTCCTGCCATATTCTACATAAGTCCTGTATAAAAGGATATCTGCCCAGCCTCTCAAAGTCATTTATACCCTGTTTAACCCCTTCAGGAGCTCTGGTGGTATAGTGCCTAAGGCATTTGACTGCTAACCAGAAGGCTGGCAGTTCAAACCCACCAGCCACTCCTCGGAAGGAAGGTTGGGCAATCTACTTCTGTAGTTATACCACCTCGGAAACCCAAGGAGGGGTCACTGTGAGTCAGATCCAACTCCACTGAAGTGGGTTTGGTTTGGTCTGACTCTTGCAGGCACATGGAGTCTTTCTCTTTCCAATTAGTCTTTGGATCTTTGAAGTGGCTCATTCCTCTGACTAGAATGAGCTCCCATAAGTTTTTTTTTTTTTAATAGTTGTCTTTATAGTATGTGATTATGATCTCAGATTAAATATAATTCCTCATACATGCTATCCAAATCAACCCTCAAAGATAAAATCTTACCACCTCCACTCCCACCCAACCACTAACTCATCTCTAACTCACACTCTTGGTTTATATTTTTTAGACCAAGTATTTTACTTATTTATTTCTCTATTTATTGTTTTCTATTTCCTTCTTGTTCTTGTTAGTTGCCACTGGGCCTATTCTAACTTGCTACGGCCACACAGTAAACATACAATAAATATTTGTTGATAAAAGAATGATTGATACATGATAACTCTCAATTAGAATAATTGTATAGTTTTTAAGACTCCATTGTTCATACAAATACAGAACATTTTTTGTTTGCATTAATTTTACATTCTACATAATATAAAGAGGGTGTTGGTGGCTCACTGATAGAATTTTCACGTTCTGTACAGAGAACCAGGTAAATTCCCATTTGTGTACCACTTGTGCAGCCACTTTTGCCCACCGGTGGAGGTCAGCATTTTGCTACAATGCTGAATAGGTTTCAGTGGAGTTTTCAGAGGAAGAGAAACTAGGAACAAAAGGTCTGGTGATCCACTTCTGGAAAACCAACCAATGGAAAACCCAATGGATCACAAAGGACAACCCATCATGGGGATGGTGCAAGACTTGTCTGCATTGAGATCTGTTGGGCATGGGGTCACTATGAGCAGAAGGCTGATTTAACGAGCTAACAACAACATGAGACTAAAGACACATGATACACTTGATACTAAATTATCTAAGATTTCACATTAGTGCTTTCTGGCTGCCACAGGCATCAGTTACAATAAATACATGTTCAATGATCATCTAAATTATAAAATATTGCACAAGTAACTAATTTCTTATCATCAGCACTGAAGATAATTGTCATAATAACTATTGAGTTTCCAACATCTACTTTGTGCCAGGCACAGTGTAAGGGCTTTCACGTTTCACCCTTCCAATAATTCTGAGAGACATGGTATTTTGATACTCAGTTTACAAATTAAGGAATTGCAACTCAGTATAGATTAATGTAACTGGCCCAAGGTTAAACAGTTGGCATGGGGAAAAAACAGGTATTAAACCAAGTGACTGGCTCCAAAATAATTATGCTCAGTCATGATGCCTGGGACCAAACAAGTATTTATTAATATTCCACATAGCTTAGATCATGGTCTGATTACCTGGGCCCTAATTACTGCTAGTACATAAAAATAACAGCTAATATTTTCACTACAAATTATTTAGCTGGGAACTTTAATATTTATAAATTCCAACATTCAAGACATACATTCCGGTTAGGAAATATTGCTCTATTTACACATGATACGACCAAAGATTACATAGAGTACTGAGTTGCCCAAGGTTATACTGAAATGTTAATTTCTCCATTCAACCTCAGGCCTCACCTCTAAGTCCATACTGCATTATCAGTTTCCTTAGCCTTAAATCAACACTATTTTTAAAATTTTAGTGCATCAAGAGAAGTGCATCTAAACTCAGTCCTTTTTATCCATATTAAAAACCACTAGCTAAGATATCTAATAGTTTCAAAATCTGAGAAGCCACTTTAAACCACTAAATTATCAGAGCCTGTTGACTACATTTCAAATTGTCTTTCCAAGAATACTTTGACACATTTTTAACTTGAATTTGCATCAGTGAGAAACAGCTAATATGATGAGCTAATTCCCATCTTTTAACACTATTTAATTTCAAGGGAATAATGCTGCAAACAGTGGTTTTCAATATTTAAATTTTCACCAAAATGCATTAAACTTCAGAAATAGTTTAAGAATTTTACATAACGCATAGTTAAATTGAAGCTACAGTAATTATAAGTCAATCTATGGTATTAAACCAGAAAAAGAGCAAACAGATTGTAGAGAATAGTAATTGTAAGCAATGTGGCATTTTTTTCTTGGTTTACTTGCTTTGTTTTACCTTCATCTCTTCAACTGCTTTCTGCAATTCATCTGGGGTTTTATACTCGAAATCTCTTCCCAAGTATTCTTCCTCTGCTTGTGTCATCCATTCATGCATTTCTGATAGATCTTTCTGAAGGCTCACAGTTTGATCCAAACCTCCCTTTAAGGCTTCCTTTCTGGCATAAACCTGGTATTAAAATATATACATATATGAGAATTGAAAGTCAAAGAATAATATTGTCATAGCATTACGTTGTTGTTGGGTGCTACAGAGTCTAACTGATAGCAACCACATTTGGCAGAGCAAAACTTCCCCCAGGGTTTTCTTGGCTATAATCTTTACAGGAGAAGATTTCCAGGTCTTTCTTCTGCAGAATGGCTACGTGGGTCTGAACTGCCAGCCTTTCGGTTAGCAGCCCAGCATTAAGACATTTGTGCCATGAGGATTCCTCATATTATTACATAAAATGCAAACAAACAAAAACACTGCCATCCAGTTGATTCTGACTCATAGTGACCCTATAGCAAGACATTAAAGATAAAGCCTGGCTCTTATATGTATAAAGAAAATAACTTGTGCAGATTGTTGTTGTTATGTGCCATTGAGTCAGACCCGACTCATAGCAACCCCTCTTTGGGTTTCTGAGGCAGTATCACTACAGAAGTAGATTGCCCCATCTTCCTTCCAAGGAGGGGCTAGTGGGTTTGAACCTCCAGCTTCTGGTTAGCACTCAAGTGCCTTAGCCACTATGCTACCAGAGCTCCTTTGTGCAAATTAGATACACTTAATTCCACGCCATGTGAAACTAAGCCATAGGCTTTTACTTGTTGCACATAATTATTAAAATGAACAGTTTCCCTTTGACAGTAATGTAACTCCCCTGCACGACACTGCTTTTCAGGAATAAAGAATAGAGATAAACCAAATTATTTAATAATATTTTTTAGTTGGAACACTTTTTTTTGGGGACACATAAAGCAGTAATTCTTTGTGCTCTTTTATACTGTTTTACTATTTGAAATAGTCTGTTGTTGTTGTTGTTGTCATGTGCCGTCGAGTCAAACCCGACTCATAGCGACCCCTCCTTGGGCTTCCGAGGCAGTATCACTACGGAAGTAGGATTGCCCAACCTTCCTTCCGAGGAGTG